CTGCGCAATTCGATGAGATAATTGCCATTCAATATTTAAATTCACTCACTGAAGGAATGCTTTCAGACTCTCCTCGGGTGGAAAATATACGGAAGAGTGGAGCCCATTGAATTGTTCAATTTGATTGTTACCGTCACAATTCAATTTTCCTTCTAAATACTTTTATCAAATTGAATTGGATCCACTCAGTCGGGGGGTGGGAATCACCCCGGAGACAAAGTTCTGTGGCACCTCAAATGGGCGGAAGACGATCATCATCCCTTCGGCGCAATTGTTGTGTGCCAAACACATTTGCTATTTTATTTGCTCTATTTGTTTAGATTCGCACACAAAAGACGCTCAAGGGCGAACCCAGAAGCGTGGGTTGTGAACGAAAATCCCTAGCAGTTACCCTCCCAGAAGATCTCGATGGAAATCATTTGGTATCTTTTGGTGCGAGGATTAAATAGAATTTCAACACCCGCTTCTGTTTTCCTCCGCCCAAGAGTATCTTTTTCCGCCCAAAGGAAAGGTCTTCGTGCAGCAAAACTCTTGGGGATTTCTAAGGCATCTCAATTGTCATCTGTTTGGCAGAATTGACGGGTGTATGAAAGAGAATCAATTATAAATTGGGGAGACTCCCATTCAAACAGCCAACGCAATAGTACTTCACATCACATTCATTCAGTCCCTGATATTGCACTCATACAAAAAATCTCAATTCTCAAAATGGCATTTATGATGAGATTTTGTGATAAAATCATCTGAATCCCCAATAAACATGTTTCTCAGAAGAGTTGAAAAGTGCAAATACATTTCATCCACGCAGATTTCAACGAAGAATATGAAACATTAGTACATTGGATAAAAGAAAACATTTCTAACAAAACACAAAATTGTAAATTTGATAAGATACTTACTTTCAAGATGATTTCAACAGATTTCAACCACAAAACGGTTCCATGCACAGATAGTGTCTGCGCCTGTATCAATTTCCATTCAATATTTTTTCCTCGCAAATTGAGTTCTATTGAAATATTGTGGAGGTGAAAATGTGATTTGTGACTGAAAGCGTAAGTTGATTGCGCAAAATGAAGTCTTTTGAGAAAAATGCAAAAATTGCATCATCACTGGTGTGTGAGTGAGAGGAAAATACTCTAATGTATGTGACAAATAACCGACAATTCTCACTTTTTTGCACCTCGTCTTTCTTCCAATGTGGAAATTGCATTAAAATTCATTTATTCCTTCCACCCATTCTCCGTGTGCATGAATTACATGTGTTATACATATTGCATGGCGACCACAAGCGATATGTAATTAGTGACATGCCGTGAAATTCTGCAGCCGTGCTTCACAAACTTTTCACGAAGGGCAATGGGGACACACTGGGAGGCGCGAAAGTGGATTTACGGCGAGCCTGGTCTAATTAGCATAGAGCCGCTTCGCAGCCCCAACTATCTGGCCGAGGACGTCGGCTAATGAAGTGGCTGGAGAATCACCTGCATCGTATCCCTGACGATGCTTCACCTTTCGTGTCAAACCACTCACTCCTGACCGCACAGCACACACGAGAGGGATGAGTTAGGGTGGCAAACTTCTCTGTCTATGGCGTTAGTTTAAATACAACCGCGCCTGGATTCAGGGCAGGTCTCGAGAAGAGGATTAAGATGGGTGGCAGAGAGGCTATTTATCCGGGAAAAGCCAGAACCTCAGAAACCAAATATTCCGCCTCCAGACTGAACATACCTTTCGGGTTGGATTATCATACATAGTTTGTAAACTTTCCGCAATGCTGCAAAATTTTATCCTTTCAATCAACATCTATTCATGTGTTAACCGCTAGGATAACCCATGTTTAATTACGAATAGAGAACCTGTATTTGGTATGGAAATCTGTAGAATAAATAAAGCGTGTCGGAGAGAAAAGATCCTTGACCTGAGCATAAAAGAATTCCCAATTCAAATCTCCAGAAATTAATTATGTAACGGGTTTTGCTCAATTTTTTTTTCCATAAGATGCCATAGTTTAGCCAGAGAACCCCTCTGAAACATACAGAATATGAAATTACTGCCGGTTCTCCCTTTGTTGAGCACGACTGCTTATCCGACGATTAAATTTATATGTGAAGTTTATACTTGTCAAGTAAGCAAAACACCTCTAATGGAATTCTCTCTCTCTTCGTCGTCTTCCCCACGAGAGCCACGGTGGCAAAATATGGCTCGAACTTTCATAGTCTGGGAGATAAAGTGCGTCGAAATTTGATTAGACCTCCAGAAGTGAGAATGTTGAAAGAATTTTTCTTTGAATCTCCTCCTCTACATTGTCTCAATTAGCTGGATAAGTTAATATAATCGCTAATTAAGGTTGAAAATTTCTCAGATGGAATAATTTCTCTCTTTCGCGCTTTAATTCCGTTCTTGAAGGACTGGGGAAATCTTCAATTTCCGGTGAAGACAGAGAGAGAGCCCCCGTATATTACAATATTGTTTAAAGTCTACTCTGGAGTCAAAGCTGAAAGCTCATTGTAGCACAATTTTCCAACAAGGGCTCTTGTGAATGAAGAACTTAAGAGAAGCTTACCGGTTGAAGGACAATGGAGTCATTGAAACAGATATTAAAAAATATTTGCCTATGTTACGTACGAAAGAGGAAGTTTTACGTGTAACTTTCCGGTACCCGTCAATTTGGAATTGTTGGAAAAAGCAATGGGAGCTTCGAATAGTGTCCACTCAAGGAATGTTTTATTGCAGTCTGTACTCATTTGAATTTTTGAGAGAATCTTCGCAGTCAGTTTGGTGAATATTGTAATCTGAGATCAAAGTGAAACCTACATTAGAAAGACCACCAACCTACAGATTACATTACATCTTTGCTTGTTTAGCTACGAGTTAATATTCCATGGGAATTTTTAATTCTCTCCTCTTCAACCTCCCACCAAGTTGAGACTTCTGCTAATCGCATTTCCACCCATCAACCCTGTTGCAATTCACTCATGCAATCTCCCTCAAGTGAAGCTGTTCGGCGTGCCATCACGCTCCTCTGCTGGTCCAGAGTTGCGAAAGGGAGAAAATAAAAATTCCACGTCAAATTAATAACACAATTTGTGTGTTTTTGTGCTATTTTCTGCACCATCAATTGGTGGGCTCGCGGGGGACTTGCCAAGTGACTGGTTCACCTTCGCCGAAGAATCCCGGGAAACATTCGCGCGTGGCGATCAACATGAATTTCAATTAAATCTCTGCACATTCACTCTTGGGCACAACTTCTTCTGCAACTCAAGCTTTTGCCAGCCTCTTTCCCTTTACCCGATCTCGATGTCATAAATTTAGTTTCGAATCCACTTCTCTGTTTTCTCTATGAAGAGTTCCTTTCCCTCCCAATGGAGCTGACAAAATGCCTTCGCAGGCGAACAGTGTCGTTCATATTCATAATTAACACAATGATTAAGACTATTCATCACTTCGGTGGCAAATATATATTCAGAGAAAATTAATGAATCATGCAATTTGGAGTTTGTCTCTCGGGAGACTTGAATTTCTTCCACCCACGCCGTTCTAGTCTCTTAGGACTGCCAAGTTATAAGCCAGGGAGTTCTGTGTGATCGCATTGACGTTATCCCCATCGAAGAGACTAGAATTTCTCTCTCGGCGTGAATTTTGTTGGCTGAGAGGGATAAACTGTGGATAAATTCACGTTCTAAGAAAACGAGTTTTGCATGTCGGAGGCCAGAAGAATCTTTTCCCATTCCAATGGGAGATGACGGTGTGTATAAAATGTAAATTTACAGAATATGTTTTGACTTCATCGAGACGCGTTTCCACCCAACTCGAAACCGTCAGTGGTCAGATCCAACGATGACATTCGATCCTCCCAGCCGCAGAATCTGCATCATGCATTCCAGACCCATTGCAGATTTTGCGACGCAGAAGAGCCAAGGAAAGTCATCTGTAAGACGATCCATCAGCGTAAGAACAATGCGAATGAATGCCAAACAGGTTGAGATATTAATAAGCCATTGCGATATTGCACGGTGGCACAACAAATTGCATTCCTCCTTGACTTTTTCCTCATCTGCCTTCACTTGGAAAATGTGGAAAATGTATTGCATGTGTGACTTTTTGCGATCGAGATCGCTTCGGGAAAAATTCCAAACGATCGATGAAGTGAAAGGAGTGATATCAATTATTCAGAGACGCATTGGACGCAATTGCAGACAAGCTGTGTGAATTCTTCAATGGAATTCGCGATATTAATCAATGGTAAATAGCAGCAATGTCTTGTGGCAAATGCTTGAGTTAGTTGACTGTCTATCATATAATCCGTATCCCACTAAACAAAAGTATGGCTAAGGAGTTTTTTATCTCAGTGTTCCACAAAACATTCCAAGAATTGACCTCAGTCAGACGCACAAACAAAGGTGACTAATATACAAAAATTTCGAGGTGATTTCAAGGTGATTTCCCGGCGAAATATCATCAAACGTCTCTCTAGAATCCCAGTGGAATCGGTAAATGGAAGTTAATTGAAAGGATTAGCACTCATTTGAGAGATTATTCACTCAAATTCCGCACTTTTTGCAGTCGCGCAATCTCTTTTGATTGCTGAGGCATTCCGGTCGTGATTTTTTACCCTCCAGCCTCCGCGAATCGTGAAAGTGAAGGGGAAATGGCATGTGCCGCAAAAGGGGAGGAATATTAAAAGTCTGCAAAATTTCAAATTAAAGCCTCTCGTCTGACGGTGGGAAGGACTCTGAAAAACTACCAATTTTGTTAATGGAATCTTATCCTTCGTCTCTCTTTTCGATGTATATTCTTTAACTCAAACCGCCGGAAAGTTTTTCCGGTTTTCGCTCGGCAAAAGGAGTGGTTCACGTTTGAAGGGAAAGTGGTTATGCAATTCCATGAATATTCGCTCTTCACTGCTTTATTGGGGTGATTGTGAAAATCCTAATTTCCTCCTTCGCTCTGCGAACAATCCATTTAGCCCAGCCACTAAAAGGCTCTATCTCTCTTTCCAGAACATCCTCGAGAAATTCAATCCCGGTGCCAGACAATTAATCAGTGCTGGAAAATCATACCTTAAAGCACTTCATGGTAAGTCAATTCAAATTTTATGGTGGGGCACACCTTGGAACGTTTAAGGCAATTTAGGGTGCAGCGAAAGCATTTTTCCACTTCCATCTGAATTTCACGCGATTTGTGGACATTTATTATCAACTTTATCTGTTACACAACGCCATATCATCGTATTTAATTGCAGCTGGGATTCACTTAATTGATTTTAAGATAGAGAAAAGACTTGTGAAGAGCCAAAAAAGCAATGCAGAGTTAAACTTCATTCAGTGAGTTTATGAAAGTAACTTGTGAATAAAATTCCTCTTATGCAAAACTTCACGCTAACAATTTTATTGCTTAACGTTGACGTTATCATGTGAGTTTACAGTGCATAAATTTTTAGGAACAATTTGTTGTTCTACAACTATTAAATTTGCGATGTGCAATAGCAGAATTGTGCATCCGAAAGTTTCCCAGCTGAACAACCAAGAAGTATACTGAAAGTTTGCTGAGGGTGAATAAGGAGGGAGAATATGGGAAAATGATGGGTTTAACGTCCTATGTCTCCCCATTTTGCCGTCGCACCACATAAAAAAGAGAAACTGGTGAAAAATGAGGAAATCGTACACGTAAATTCATCATAAAAATCTTTGCAGGGGCAGCAGCTGCTTCCAGATTATTCAACGAGGCCCTGGCCAAGATAGCTGTGAATGCTCAACAAGGTGGAACCACAGATATCGGTAAGATGAATTTCACCCTCCCACCCATTGTCGGGAATTTGGGTGGTGGATGTGGCGAAAAACACCCGCCCGCAGGCATTTTTCGATGCTGAAATGGTTTTCCAATAAATTTACTCCCACAAACATCATAATGTGATAAGTCCTCTCGGGGAACTCTTCGCGCAGTCAGTCGTTGGGGATTTCCATCGAAACATAAAATCTCACCCCAGTCCTTATATTACTTAGGCTGGGAGTCTGCTTGCTCTTCAGGGAAGTCTAAAAAATAATGCTTCAATCCAGTAGCGTGTGTATGTGAAATGCGCAAACAAAAAACAACTAACATAACATTCACCCATTCAGATATTTTCACCAGTCTTCCAACAAGTCCTAAACTGTGGAAAAGAGGAAAGTCAGTTTAGGAACTGATTTTCATGTCGCGTGTCTACTACGCCACTGTCTCACATTCACTTCCTTTTGCGCGCAAAATAAATTGCCGAATAAATTTCGGGACATCTGATGAAAATTTACGATGATGCAGGAGTATTCTCTGTGCACAGTGAGAGTGAATTTCTTTGCCTGAAGGGATGCCCAAATGATGAGGCAAGAGAAGACGAATTTTAAGTATTACCTCACAGTGGATGGGCGCGTGAAAAGAAACTCGTGGTGCTCTCCTCTGTTATGCTAATAATATTGGCAATTTGTGCCACTTTTGGAAGCGAAGCGAGAAATAAAATTAAGCCATAACCTTTTGATTTTCCTCTGGCGCCTCCAAATTGCCTCAACATGGCACATGCGAGATAAAAAGGCCCTGTTTTTTTAGTGGCTGAGCGGGAAAAGTTGAATGAGCCAAAGAGAACAGAGTGAAAAACTCATGCCACTATCGGACCTTATTGTGCACTCCTCTCGAAATCGTTAAAATCTTCCCACCCTCGAGACACAAGCTCAGAGTTTCAACGCACATTTTCCATAGTATAATCAGCAACTTTCAGTCTTATGCCTTTCTCAGCGACGTTTTTTTTGCTTTTTCTCGCATAATTGACTCTTTATGACAAATCACGAGATTATTACGGAAAGAACATGTAAATCATCGCGATAAGACTCATAAAACAGACACAAAATTCACTAAACTTGGACAATTCATTTTGATTTTACTCCTCGTCCAATACATTTTATGATTGAACTTTATGTTTTTCTGCGTATCTTTTGAGTCCAATTTCCGGGATTTCTCTCTGATTCGCTGTATTTGAAACATTTTTACACACTCTCACTAAACGATAAATAACATTTTCATCCCTCGCGCCGAATGTACAAGAACTCAGGGGTGCACGAGCGGTTCCGAGAGGGTGAATATTGCGCCAATTCTTCCTGTACAAAAAGCACAAACAAGTAATAAATGTCTTAAGAGTGTTCGCTGTGTTCCAAGTCGTGAAAAAGACAGAGGACGTGCCAGAAGGCCCAGAATTTACCACTTGTGCTTAGGGGCAGAAGAAAATTGCGCATCGTGGGGTGAAACAAAAGGGGGCACAAAGGTGAATTATAGACTCAGGAGTGCAGAAAGGGGAAAAACCAGGAACAGAAGTGACCCACATTTCACGGGTAAACTCAGGGGGTGATCAATTTGGAAATTTTCACCTCATTCGGTCAACCTTCTTATGTCTTGCACGTTACAAGAATATTTTATGTCTTATGGGCGTATATGAAATCTTTATGGAAAGTGCGTACGTGATGTTTTCACATAACAAAATATTACCAAATAACTTAATGCAGCGCAGAGAAATTACTAAGCCCGCATGCACTTTCTGTAGACCACATTGAATATATTTTTCAGATGTGTAATCTTAAAATTTTAGAGCATCCGGTTTTTTTTTATTTATTTGCCTAAAAACCGCACAGAATAATTGTTTTAAAATTCAATTACTGTAAAGCATCATAATAATACTTTCAATGTTCACTTAAATTGGATTAATTGCCAAAATAAATGTTATTCGTATGCCAAGTGATGTAATTGAGCATTAATTGATAATTTATGTTAATGCTCCATAGAAAATTATTTCAATTTCAGTTGGAAAATTTACCGATTTCACATGTACAATGTGCATACAATATTAATTGTTCAGTTTGATTTGTGAGGTGAAGCAAAAAATTCTCTAAATTCTCTAACAACTAACAATTTGTTATAGTGAATAATTGAGGTATAAAACATATTTCTGCAACTGATTAATTGCAATGAAAGACAAATTTTCTCACGATAATTTTTCTTTAGAAACTATATTTGTTGAGGAAAAAATTAATTTCTTGGTCAACAAATAAAATTCAAAACACGTGTTATTCATTTGTTCAGTTTATGCTTCATTAATACTTGGTTATGGAAATGTTGTAATTTTGAATACATCTTCAGGATTTCAAGTAATTTATTATTTTGTAAAATGCATAAATCGTATAGATGTTAATGTACTTTAGGGGGCTGGAATTTCGAAGAAACCATTATGTTTTTATTTGAAAGTAAAAACAATTTCCTTATAGAGTTTGTATAAGATTCTAAAGTACGGCCCTGCTTCTTTCGTTACTTTCCCAGACTTGATCACATAATGAGATGATCATAAACTACAGAGAACTGGTATTATGTAAAGCATCTGTGTTTAAAAATTTATTTCATCACTTTCTTCCATACCCAAAAGAATCAACGTCAGAAATCTCACTAAATCAACCGTCTGAACCTTTCTCACTTTGTGCCGCGAGTGGAAAGAAAGTGAACAACTCGAATGAGAATTGATTAGCCTCCTTAAGCAGGAAGTTGATGAGATTCTGTGCTGTATTTTTCATGGAATAAGACATTGAAAATGTGTTTTTTTCGGCATGCTTATTTAGTATTTTATGTGTCTCTCCTGGTGGAATCCTTTTATGCGCTCCTATTTTATGGCTACCACTTTGCTTCTTATAAAATCCTCAATAATGGGATAAGCGAGCAAGGGTTCGGGCGGTAAATTTGTCCCAGAAGAATATTTGGGGAAATCTCTCTTCGCTTTCGCTGCGCTTGTGAGCCAAATGGGTCCACTTTACTCCCAAGAATTTATTATTCATTCCACTTCTTCTTCTCCTCTATTCGTTAATTCCCCTGAGATAGCAATCTGAAAAATACACTCGGCACTTGATGTGGACCAGTGGTGAGATGGAAAATAATCTTATTAATCGGTGAATGATCCCACGGCAAAAATGCGCCTCAATGGATTGGTGATCGAGAGAGAACCTGTTGGACAGGAATGAAATTTCAGAATTTCACTTTTTATTTCCTCCATTATTTCAACATTTATTACTCATGATGCTTTTATCGCTTTCAATCGTGACACCACACTGAGATTCTTTCGTAATTTCTTGTCTTTTTAGGTGCAGCCCTCATGAATATCGTGGGTGTCTACAAGGAAATTCAAGATCAGCAGATGAATATTGTGAGTGTCGCACAGTGCATTAGAAATCTACATGATTCAAAAGTTTGCAAGTGTCGAGAGAGTGAACAAACATTTCACGTATTTTCTTGAGAATTATTTAGACAGCATCCCTCGGGGATGGAAAAATTTTAATTCAACCCTCTTCACTCGAAGTCTTCTCACCCCAACACTCTTCTCTCTTTCTCCCTCTCTCTCTCTCTCTCTTCAATGAGAAATGCTGTTTCATTGTAATCCGATTAAATTGCAGCTGAAAGCGTTCTATGTGGACTTGCTGGTGCCTCTGGAAACCAATCTGGAAAAGGACACAAAAGTGGTGCAGTTTGAGCAAAAGAGATTTATGCAGCAGCATAAGGTGCGAACAGACAGCTACAGCAAGGCTGCTGCCACTATGAAGAAGCAGCGGAAGAAGAAACCCAGTCCACAGAACGCCGACAAGGAGATGAAAAGTATTCAGGCACTTGAAGAGGAGAAGAACAAGTTGGATGCGTTTTGTGAGCAGAGTCTCAAGAATGTAAGGGATTCACAAGGATCTCTGTTGATGACTATTAAACTGTTTCAATCCATTCACTTAGGCAATGACCCAAGAACGAAGACGATACGGATTCGTGCTGGAACGCCAATGTTCCCTGGCTAAACACTGGATGGTCTATCACGCTTCAGGCAAGGGTACCATTGAGGGATCCCTGGACAATTGGCAAGACGTTGCAGCAACTCGAGAATTTCTTCCTCCAAACGTAGAATCCATGTTCACGCGACGCATCAAGGATTGTTTCAGCGAGGATGATTCCGATCGTTTGTCCATCTCTTCAGCATTGCGAAAGACACGCAGCATCGATGCTTCGTGTCTGGATATGAGATCTTTGGGCGATGTTATGAACAGCATGCAGATGCCACGTGCCAAATCCGAATTCAATCTAACCACGTCGACAATCGGTTCTAATCATCCAGATATATCAACACGTAAGTGGAACCCATAATTTTGCAGATGTGCAGTTTAGTTCATTTTACATTCTCCTTTAAAGCCATAAATTGGGATCAACGCCCAGTAACTAGAGCTCTGTATGCGTACTTGTCGTCGGGTGAGAACCAGTTGAGCTTCCTGGAAGGCGATAGGATTGCTTTGGTGGGAGAGCGAGCTAAGGGATGGCAGTTCGGAGAGAATCTCCGTACGCAGATGTTCGGTTGGTTCCCAGTAGCATATACAGGGCCTGAGATAGACCCAGACATGGGTATGTGGGACTCTAAGGGCATTCCAGTGGATCCACATCAGATCGAGAGTGCAGCTGAATCATCCTTGGAAAGTACTCTTGTGGACGAACCAACTGGACAAAATCGCAGCTCTTATCATCATCATCAGAATGATACTTCGCCAACTAGGATGTTTGGAGACACTATTATGTACAGACAATCCAAACAGGTTAGCTCTGTTTGTCTAGAAATTTCCTACAGTATTTTGAGTTTTCCTTTGAACTTTCAGTTCCGCGGAATTTCCGGCGGCGGTCCCAAACCTGGTCCTCCACCCACACTGCCAGCTCCAGTGCCCACTCCGGTGGTCCCGCCATACGCTAAGGGATCGGCGGGTGCCAACGGTAGTCACTTGACGCAGTCGCATAGTTTCTCTTCATCGGGCGGGACTCCGATGGGCGAGAAGCACAAGCCCGCGACTTCCAACTTCGGCAAGCAAAACGGCAGCAACATGTCTGCGGGCGGCAAGAACAAACCCACAGTCACCAGTGCTTCCCTGCACAGTAGTAATGATAGCGGGTTTGCTAACGAACCACCACCACAGCCCGAAGTGGACTATTCCGATGAGGAGACCGTCACTCGAATGCCCATAAGGTATGCATAACGCCATATCCCCGATTGATCTGCATCCTATTCTTTTTTTTTTTTACTTATTTTTTGTTTTGTTTTTGTTTGTTTTATGTTGCGCTCAAAAAACCCATTGCTTTTATCCTGTACCTCACTCTCTGCTGATAAAGATCCTCCCGTTCGGAGAAGAGACACTCAGCCAATACTACTCTAACGCGATCTATTAAGAATCGCTCAAATACAAACACACTGGAGAGTACAAAGAGTCGCCAAACCCTGATAAGGCAGTCGTCAAGCTATGGCAATCTAGCAGATGAGCACACCATGGAGTTCCTCTATGGAACCACAGATCGCAACGGAGGGACTAAGTATGTTAAGCGGACCAAGTCATTTTGGCGTTTCGGAAAACAACCAGAGGACATAATGGAGGGAATGGCGATGTGGAGACATCGAGATCTTGTTCAGACGGAGCAAGAGAGGCGCGAAGAACGTCGTCGTGAGGATAATACAATCAAAAGACGTCCCAAAACCAATGGAGAGATGATCAATGGCAACACAGATACTCTCGTCAAGAATGGACGTCCCAGGAAGTCAGAGGTACCAGTAATAGATGACCATGCCAAGTACCGAATCACGAAGTCAGAGATCGATCACAGGATCGGTAAGCAACAGTCGCCATCGAATGAGAGTATTTACGGAGGTCAACAGCCTCAGCCGCAGCAGCAGCAGAAGAAGCAAACAAAAACGGCCAAGAGTGAGTCCGGAACGAAGAATGGACGCAACAACAGGTTTGCGTATTCCGATATTGAGGACGGAGGCAGGGTTGAACGCCGCATGCAAAGCTACGAATCCCGGCCCGAGGATTCCTTCAGACGTCGCACTGCCCCAGAAGATGAGTTCAAGAACGGTGATCTGAAGTACTACGATGATATGATGATTCCAGAGCCTGGTTTTTACGACGACGACAGCGTTAACGACGTAGTCATGAAGACCGTTAAGCGCAAAGAGATCCTTAAGCAGTACTACTCCAGTGGAACGGATACAGAGCGCAACTCTAGCAGTTCCGATCCGTATGATTGCATCGTTGTTGAAGATCATTTGGTGAAGCGAGAGAACGGAAAGACCCCACGCGGGCGTTCGGATAACATGGAGTTCAGCACTTTCCGTGGGGCAGATCACAAGGACAAGAGATCACCTGGCGGCGATGATGTCACAGCAGGAACCCTTCTTCCGAGAACGAAACTAGCTAAGCCCGGAACGAAGATGCAGAGTGCTCATAAGATGGACAAGAATCAAGATGGCAATAGGGATGAAGATGGCGGAAAGAGACGCAAGGAAATCAACTCTGGTTCTCCGGATAAGAGGTCCTCGAAAGCATACGGACCATGGTACGATCTGTGGAGCAACGAGGCGCCTATAAGTCAGAAATAAATGTGGATTTGGGTTACTATCTTACTCAATGTTGGAATCTTTTGTACTTTAATATTTCGGTAATTCTTCTGTTATTCTTATTCAAAATTTGTATTTTTTTTCTTAGAATAATAATTAAGTCCTTAGATAATGTCGATTGAAGCCGATCAAATGGTGCTCTTTCAGAAAAATGATCATTCTTGATTGAAAATACATGTATGTTTATAGTGAGAGTTTAAGTGCCAAACATCCTCTAACATTGTATTAAAATATATAAGAATTTATCCCTTCTAATTCGCTCTTTATATTAAACTTGCTGAATTTAGCGCAACATTTTCTCCCTTCTATTTCCGCATTACTTTTTTTTTGTTCTCCAAAATTGCGTTTAACCATAATCCATTGTATAATTTGTTATTGAATATAAAATATATTTATATTTTTACCTCCACACCCATGTTTTCTTTGTATTAGACACTCCTCCGTTAGCCCGTGTGAATTTATTAAACTTGGACTGAATGAAAATTGTGCTTTCAGAGCGGCCCAGTTTGCGACCGTGCACCTGAGAACCACCAAGACTAACGATCGATCAGCACCGGTGATCAAGTAAAATTATCACACCTCTTTCGTCAATTTGGTGTGCGTGAAGCAGACGAAGATGGTTATTAATTAAAGAAATTAGTGTCGCCCGTTTTACTCTACACACGTGAATTTCATTTATATTTGAAGACTATTTAGAAATTTATTGTTCTCTGTAATTTGCAATTTATTGAATAAAAATGCAAATTTTGCCCAAATGCTTTACTCTACGAGAAATTCATACACCACAACGTCTCGTGCGAAATATGTGCATATATATGAATGTACTTAGAGGTGTTTTCCATATTTAGAGATGTATCGCGAGAACACACTCTAATTGCATTAAATTGATTTCGTGAGTAGGAGAGTTGAGTAGTTTGGGAGACTATTTTTCCCAAAGATTGATATTCATTGCATGTCTTCATTTCGTTGAAATTGTATGATTTATTTACTCATTCAACTTAATTATTCAATAACTTTCATTGTTACTCATCTCTAAGGTGATAATCATCCTCACTTATCGAGAGTACTTTTGTTTTTAATATATGCTTTAGGCTTTTATTATGAACATTCCATTTAATCGCGTTATGAATTCGAAGAAAACAAGAAAGTTTGATTGAAGCTGTTTAAGATTTTTCACCCTTGCTAACATCCAAATTCTTTATGAGTGATACAAAAAATACATATAGGATTAGCTGTGGCTTGCAAATCGTTATCATCAAGTTTCTAAGCCTGAAAACCCAATTAATTCAATCATAGTCGCAATCAAAAACTTGCGAAATATCAATCTTTTGTCACGAACTTAATGAAAGAACAGGGTAATGCCAAAATGTAACATGACCTCAGTATACAGTCTGGCAATTAACACTAAGGCAGTTCTTCAGAATCCCTAGAGAGAAAGGTATTGGAAATTATTTCTGTTCCACTCCCAGCAACGGCCTTCAGGGGAAATACCGTTTTGAATTACATCGAAGGTCTGCAGTCTGCAGATTCCATCCACTGGTGGTGAATTCAGTGACTCTCTGGCAACTCTCTTCGTCACCACTAGAAAAGAGAATACAAAGGTAGAGGACTTCACACTATGCTCGACTGGAACGAGAACAATATTTTCAGCGTTATTTTCGTCGCAACTTCACAACAATGTAATTTCATGAGGCACTTAAGAAATTAATGTTAAACAAGAATAATGACAAAATTCGATAACGAATTTACTAATAAAACAATCTGGTTCACTGATTGACAACACTACTGCTCCGCCTCTTAAATCAAAGCGCGTGATTGAGTAGTTAAACTCACACACACGACGCGAGAGTTTAGTTTTGTGGTGTCCAAATAAAAGAGACGATGGCAGGAATTTGGGGTGTTTTTCGGGGCGAAAGGGCTGAAACTCCGTCAAAAGGGTCTCCCTAAATCCCTGCAGAGAGTCTTCTTCGCGAAAAACTGTGGAAAAAGGCAATGAAAAGGGCGTGAATCGAGGTTCAAACGTGAGAAATCAAAGGTGTGTGATTCATTGGAATTCCGAGAGTGTTTTGACACAGTTTCATGTTGTCTTTTTCGTGATACTGGGAGTTGGAATGCCAGATATTTGATAAAGGAATTCCCGAAGACAATCTCTTGCTCATGTGATTTGTGCGCGGAGTGCTGGATTGTGACTTTGGGGCGCCCTTTTGTGTGACCTCCAGTGACAAGTGGAGGACGCCATACATTCCTCACCAGGAGGCTCTCGAGCTGCTCTGCGGGGCCCCGTGTGCGGAAGGTGAGCCATGGAGCTGAAAGTGTGGGTGGAGGGCATCCAACGGATCGTCTGCGGGGTCACCGAGGCCACGACCTGCCAGGTAAGTGGGTCACTGCCATGCGGAAGCGCACTCTGATTTCTGGGCGCTCTCTTGCAGGACGTGGTCTTCGCCCTGGCGCACGCCACTGGCAAGGTGGGCAGATTCACCCTGATCGAGCGCTGGCGGAACAACGAGCGGCTCCTGGCGCCCACTGAAAATCCCCTGAAGATCCTCATGAAGTGGGGCGAATACTCCAGCGATGTGCAATTCATCCTGCAGCGGAGCGACCAGCCGAAAACGCCCGCTCTGCAGTCTCCGCAGCAAGTCCTACGACAGCAGCAGCGTCAGCAGGAGCAGCAGAACAGCCAGGATCTCGCCCAGACTGTCCTTGTGTCGCCCCAGAGCGATCGTCTCAAGGAGAACATGTCCCCGATCGAGAGGGGCCGCGAGACGCGCAAGAGCTTCACCAGCGGCAGCCTCGATCTCAAGTCCGACAACGTGGGCATCGTCCGGGGAGTGCCCCAGAAGTCTCCCACGCCACCGAAGACCTCCATCACGCCCAATCATACACCGCAGGGCTCCAATGAGCCTCTCTATGCGGGCGTCGTGAAGCCCAGCCAGGCGTCCGCCGCCACTGTGGCCAAGAGTGGAGAATTCACGTCGGCCGACGTGCGAAACGCTCTGGACCGCAAAACCAACGCCAGCGTGCTGTCCGGCAGCAGCGAGAGCGTCCTCGAGGGCCCCCCGATATCGTCAAACGGCGCTCTCGTGCCGCCACCTTACCGAGATCCGCCGCCGCCGCGAAACTCCCCGCTCCAGCACGTGGCGAAGGTGGAAACGCCACCGCGAAGCGTGGCCGGGGGCAGTCTAGAGCTGATGGAGGCGCAGTATCTCCACAATGGGGCGCAGTACCGCGACCTCATTCAGCTGATAAAGCTGCAGCGCGAGAAGATCAGCATGCAGCAGGCGGACCTCACCAAGTACGACGCGGAGATTGTGTACCTGGAGAGCAAGGAGCGCGAGCAGGCGCAGCAACTGGAGGCGATCGCTCGCGAGATCAGCAAGACCGATCAGATCTTCAGGCAGGGCAACGAGCAGGTATGTCAGCATCTCTATGTGTTTGAGATTCAGCATAAAGTCGCACAGTTCATGCAAGAATGCTAAATCTGTGCGGATGATTTTTGTTGTAAAATGTTCAATGTGCTTTTGTGGCATATCTATTTATAGTGTTTTGTCCAGAAAGTGTGCAGCTCGTAATTATCGCTTATCAGTTTATCACGATGTTTCGGTAAATTGTGATAAGAAGTCAATTGTGTGTGTAATTGGAAAAGTCAGTAAATTAATTGTTCCTTATCTGTTCATAAATATGTATTTTCGTATGACGCTCAGGGCATTTGAATAGAATGTTTATCTGGTTTTTGTTTTCTAAAGATTTTTCATCAAAGCCTTTGAAGACACTGAAAGTAACTGAATTATTGAAATGTTACGAGAGCTCACGATCGATTTGCATTTGTTTGCAATTGTGAATCTTGGCATGGCATGCGCGGCGAGATAAAATATTTGAAACTTATGTGAACACTGTAAATGCTCTGGGGCAATTAATGTAATTAATGTGTGTGTCTTTCTCCTTTCTCCCTGTGTGATTTCGCTAATTTGCACGTTTGACGTTCTGTGGCGGTGGACATGAAAATTGTCGCTGAAGCTCCAAACATTGCAGTACGTGGAGGAGGAGAACGAGCTGGTGAGGCAGCAGGAGAAGACGCTCAAGTCTGAGATAACGCTACTGCGCTCCAAATTGGCCAACTGTGAAACGGAGCTTCTGCAGTGCAAGAACAAAATTCGACACCTCATGGATGACATACAAATCGAGCAGAGAGCCCTCAATCGGCAGTTTGACACGCGGTAGGTTGAGCGCTGTGCGCCAGTTTAAGCGTGGTGGGCTAATGCTGGGGCTCTTGTGGTCATTGCAGGCAGCAGATGGAGCGGCAGATTGTGGTGGAGGTGGAGCGGATACAGGCGGACATTGAGCAGATCGTGAAGACAGCCGAGTCGTCCAACAAGACAATGGAGAACCTGAAGAAGGAGGTGTCCTTCATTGAGACTGCGATAGCGGAGAAGAAGAAGCAGGTGGAGCACCTGGTGAATGAGATGAAGGAGGTGAACCTGCAGAGCCTCGCCGTGGCGCCCTCGGAGGAGATCCGCCACCTGCTGGAGGGCTCCAATCGTCCCGGCAGCACGCGCCGCATCATTGGGTCGCCGCGGCAGCTGGAGAACGCCGTGCCCACCAGCAAAAACCCCCACGGAGTGTGGGTGTGAACGCCACACGCGGGAGATCATCACAGCCCTTTTCGTAGTTCAAAACATTCTTGCATTTATTGCCAACTTTCTACCACGTATTTAATTTATCAACTGATTCTATATATATATATATATATACTTTGCATTTAAGCCCTTTTCACTTAGGTTTTATCACCCCCGACTTATTACCAATGCAATAAGACGTTAGGCATATTTTTATTTGAGCATATTAGACACAAAAGAAAAGACATTGTGCAATTCTGACTGAAGTATTTCCGCCATTTTAATGGGATTTTGATTGTGAGAAAGTCTGATAAAGGAGTGGAAGATGAACACTTTCGCGAGTTGTGAAATCGCGTTAATTGAGGATTAGTATGGAATGCAATTAGAAAACATCATTTTCGCAATAAATCACTCTCAACAGTCAGGCAGGGGTGACAAAAAATGCCGAAGAAGTGTATTAAAATTTGCAGATGGTGTTGATTAACAATGGACTTTATGGCTTTTTCTCAAAGAGCAGAAGGCTAATTGCGCTGAAGTTGATTTCTATTGAATTTTACATGGAAGCTGAGAAGCCCCTGAATCTTATGTGTTTAGCAAATATTTTAGTCAGAATTGCAATCGTAGTGTAGATTTTAGCTGAGGAATGTGATTTTATGTAATTTTATTGCGACTTTTTGGCAAAAGACAACAGAGACCACTTAGTAGATATAAAAGGAATATGAATTGAGAAAGTATATAGTATGCAAAATATCAAAAAATATCGTTAATATCTAGTCTATGATGTTGATGCCATTAGACACAAATTTAGAGAAAGAAAGCATACTGTAGGAAAGAAGATTTTGTCAAAATCACCTTCTCATTCCAACCTTTTTAATGTATTTTGAATGTATACTTGAAAGCAATCTTCAAATAAACTGATCAATATAATCCAAATAAAAAATGCTGCCTTATCGACTGAATTACTTCGGAGTTTACACCGGCGGTGACACAGAGTGCGCTTCAGTTGAATTGGAGAATTTACATGTGTGCGAATAACCTGGAAATTGTTGTGATTGTTGATGTTTTTCACTTGGCAGAAATTGAGGATTTTCAGGACATGAAAGCCATAATCCAGAGAGTCACATCGGCTTCCGTGATGGGTGAGTAACTCGAGAATCTAATTTATTTGCGAAATGTGAAATGAACTGTGGATTTCCGCGACTTTTCAGTCGATCAGGAAGTTGTCAGTGCCATTGGGAGAGGACTGTGTGTTCTCATTGGGATCTGCAAGGATGACACGGCCAAGGATGTTGAGTACATGTAAGACACCGAAGATTTATTCATAATCATCTACAGTGTTAATCACAAGTTTTTATGCCTTTGCAGTGTGAGAAAAGTACTCAATATTCGTCTCTTTGAGGATGGTTCAGGGAAGAGATGGTCAAAGAGTGTCTTGGACGAGCAGTTGGAGATCTTGTGTGTGAGTCAATTCACCCTGTATCATCGCCTCAAAGGAAACAAACCCGACTTCCACCTAGCAATGCAGGGAACTGAAGCCCAAGACCTGTACAACTCCTTCCTCGGGCAGCTGGGCCAGAAATACAATCCAGACAAGATCCGGGACGGCAAATTCGGCGCCTATATGCAAGTGCACATCCAGAACGATGGACCGGTGACAGTGGAATTGGACTCAGAACCCAAGAGCGGAGACGGCGCAGAGAAGAATTAGAAGACTTACTCCTCATTTTAAAATTTATTAATTACTCAAGAGTGTAATTATAAGATTTTCTGTATAAATCATAAAATTACGTCAAAACTAAAATACAATGCGATATGCTTAAGGAAAAAAAAACTCTGTGGCATGTTACATTGGAAATAATCATTTTCTTCGCATTTCCCATCGATTTCTTGCGTATTTTTATAGAAGAAAAAGGCACTTTTCTTTCTATTTGTCCCCACGATTTTTTGTGTTTAAAATTTCTTTTCAAACATTTTTTTTCTTCTTCTCTTCTAAAGGCCACACCAATTTTCTATTCGATATACGAAGATTTTCTGATTAAATATTACACATAAAAAATCATTGGTTGCGTACAACTAAATGCAGTTGCATGCAATTAATATATGAGAACTGATCTTTTTTATACAATATCTAATCAAAAAAGCTTTCTCTTGTCGATCAAAAATATTTTCAAGTGATACTCAATCATAAAAGTAATTTTTTAATTTAAATTTGTTCAGAGAAGAATCAGTAAAATTCTTTAATTACCCGAAACATCGTCTAAACGGTCAATCACAATCATCTCTCAATGCATCTTTTTCTTCTTTAAATCTTGATCATTTTTCTTGTATTATTGAAAACACTCTACACACTACAAACCTTTTTTGAATATTTACTTATCTCTCCTTCATACTTCTATCAACGATTATTATAATTTTTCATCAGTTTCCTTTTGCTATTATCTCCCATTTTTCACGTTATCATTTAATAGTAATTAATACAAATGACACTTATATTTATGTAAATATTTCAAATGTTAGTAAAATATAAGATTATTTGCTAAATTCATCTTCTATCTTGGATTCCTATGAAATGTGTATCTTTTCTAATCAATTTCATTGCTACGGATTTTTCTTAGAGGGGAAGATTGAATTCACATTACATCAAAATGTGGAGCTTTTCACTTTATATACTTCATTTGAAATTTTTCACTATTCAAAGGAATTTCTCAGCCCAGAATAATCTCCAATGAAAAAACATCATTGTCTCTAAATAGTTTTTCATCTCACCACTTTTTATTGGTGATGCAGGAAAGCAATAAATAGTGAATAATATAGCTAAAAAGAAAACGTAGAAAAAACACGTGAAAAAACCTTACTGAAAATGTTAGAACATTGTAAAATTAAGCTTATATTGTAAAACATAGTATTTGCAGTCGTTAATTTTTGTGTCTTGCATGTAAATCTTTATTTTAGCTTAATATTCAACAGTTCTGCCGAAGGTGAGTCAGAATTGAAGAGAACAAAGTCTTCAAGAAGTCCCATTTTTCCAGTGTCCTTCACCTTTTTTTTTTGTTTGTTCTTCAATAAATACAGTAAATAATTTGATCTCCTTTTTCAGAGTGTTAAATCCAAAGATTGCAGCTTTACATCCTGTCCCTCTTTTCTTTTCCTTGTGTGTAAATTGCTTGTGTCATCTTCAAAGAGAAATGGTCGAACGATTTGGAAAGTGTTTCACGACAAAAAACATCCGTCATAACATCATCATAATCCTTCCACTGGAGACACTCTATCGTCGCGAGTGCGCTCGCTTTACCACAGGCCAGAAGAAAATCCTCCCGGAGGGATTCTGTTCTTGATGATCACTTGATTGGCGCCATTCAAACTGGGAATCGATGTATTGATTTCCGTTCCAGCCGGCTTATAACCTTCTCCAGTCACTGGATTTCCTTCTGTGTTGTTCCCCAAGACATGATTTGCAGCACGCAGAAATTTAATACAAAATATTCAATTAATTATTGCTTTCATGGTGAAGAAATTACAATAAGATGCAACAACGTCAAAACTAAAACGAGAGCTGTGTACAATAAAAGCGAGACTTTCTTCCTAGATACAGCGATATTTCACAAGAAAACTCATTTTCAGTTTTTCAAAAGACGAAAGAAAATAATTTTTTTCCACTTTAATACCAACAACCGGGTTACAAAGATATTTTTCAATCACACAAACCGCTTTTTTAGGGTAAAATATCGCCGCTGAGATGGGCAAACTATGAGTTTTGTCTCGTTTTTTCTGTACACAGTCATTAATTAAACTCATCAAAACGAAAAACGAGATAATAACCAACTAAACCGTACGTGAGATGAAAATTGGATAAAGAATGTTGTGTGTTGGAAAGGTATGTGCTTTTGAGAGTATGAAAGTTGAGTTACAAGAGAAAAGCATAAAAAAACACAGAAGAAATTGTTAGAAACCAACACCACAAAATCAGACAGAAGAAAAATCAATTAGAAAATTATACTTAAAAACTACACATCACAACTTTCCAAATACAGTCTTTCAGTGTTGCTGTTCCAATGTGTCTTCAAAACTCATAAAGGGGTAATTTTTTGTTGTTTAGAAAGAAACACAAAAATTATGCCAAAAAGGAAAAACACAATTTCAGGGCAAAACACGAGACATGAAGAGATATTAGGCCTTGATACCTCTTCTATTGCTTCCCAACTTCCTCACACGATTCATCGGCTCATTGAGCCCCAAACCGGTCACGGGATTTCTTGGTGAGTATTTGGGTCGATTGAAGCCACCATTCATCGCACAGCAATCATTCCCGAACAATTGCTTGGCGGATGCGGAAGAGTTTCCTGATCTTGTCGACATGGACGACACTATTTGGTTTTTTTTTTGCCATCCCATTTTCAATTCACCAAATTTTTCACGTGCCAAGTGCATCCAATAGAACCATATTCATTTTCATTTGGAGAACGGAGAAAACAGTGCAAGAGATATAAATTAATAATTCAATGAACATATTGAGAAGAGAAACAACAATACTCAGAATATAAAGAACAATATATATATATATATCAACAGAATATAGAGATATAAGAGATATTGAAAAGGAAAGTATAGAGAGTAAATTAGATGGGAAAAAAGAGTATCATATCACAAAATGTTACATTACTTGGACTGGAAGCATTAGATGCTGTGGAACGAGATGACACCAAGAAGGGACTGTCATCAGGCTCTGAAATTGAATCCAGGGAGGAAGAAGAAAAAAAAGTACTCTTAAAAACTATCCGCACAAATTGACCTTCAGAGAAATTCTCTTTAGAAAATCCACTAAACAAACTTTTCACACGGAAATCCAAAACAATCAATTACATAAATTAGGCCAATAGAAATGCTGATTATGAGCATAATAATGTATAAAAGTGCAAAGTCAGTGAAACATAATGCGGAACCAATGCTCATCGTAAATCATTGGAATTTGATTCGCTAATGACTAAAATTTATCGTTTCATAGCAATTATGCATATACAACAAGAGGATAACCGAATAAAGTTCTTGAACCACTTCTTCACGGAAAATTACAAAAAAAACACACACTCTTGATTGAACGACTAATCACGCAAGATTAAGAGCCACACCAGAAGCGTGGGTGAAGAACGTTCATCCCGAAGCGATCATCAATTAGCCGAGATACTGGTTTAACTGCATTAAGCGGTACACGCTTTGTACGGGTCTTTTTGCATTAATATTTTCATCAATTTTCAAATATAATATTGACCTAAATACGATGAATAAGTCATGTATTTGAGAGGAGAGAGAAAAAATAAGGTCAAATTGCTGTTGTTGTCTTGCAGAAAAGACACAACAAACACGATAAAGCCTCACATTATAAGAAACTACCTTTATTACTATGATTTTGAAGCTTGTTTCCAAGAAAATAGAGTGCCAATAGGAGTACTGAGCTGATTTGAGTCAAGTTGGTGATTTTCTATAAATTCAAATTGTAATGAAAACCGGAGAGAATTGCAAAAATTCCACACGCAGAGTTAAGACAGATTTGCTGAAGAGTGATTTGTCATTTTATCTCTTAAAAAATGCTGTCTTTTGCATGAAAAAGTCCCTCGCCGCAGACCTCTAGTGCCGTCATGGTAAAACGTGAACGATAAAAAGTGGTTCAGAGAGAGAGAAACATATACGAAATCAGGTGGAATATCTTTTTGTCTAAATCACTATATATCATTTTTTTTTCACTCAAACACTCGCTTGTTGTGTACAATTTCGCCCCAACTTATGAATCGAGAGACTTCTATTAACAACAATCTTTTTTTCTTGTCCTATTCACTTCTTGAGAGATTTCTATCTGTTTTCTGCACTTTCTTTCTTTCATAAATGTATATTATTATTCTTTGATCTCATTCTCTCTATCGCTGCCAAGTATACTTACTTCTTCTCCTCAAGAAGGTGCCCGCTTGAAAGTATAACAAACATTATCGTGTAATTCTTTTGGGGCAATAAAAGAATTATTGATATTGAAATTCTCTTATTCGCGAGGCAACTTTCATCCATTTTTTCTCCTCTCTTTCACACCCATTTCCCAAAATGACTGAATGAGGATCTTGATGAGGATCACATATGAAAGATTCATGCTCAATGAATTGTGTGTGTGTACATTCCAAATGGTAGGCAAATGAGAACAAAGTTTTGCTTTGAATTATTAATCAAACCATCATTCCTCCCTTATTTGGTGCTGAAACAACTGTCCTATTCATTTTCTATTTAGGGAAAGATAAAATTCAGGGAGAGAGAAATATTTGAAAGGTAAATTTAAGCTATGGCAAATTTGTAAATGTATCTTCGCCTTGCATCATCCATTCACAGAACTGTTAACAGGAAAAACAACAAAACAAAGGTGGAAAATTGAAAAATTCCATTCAGTCATTCACAACAGGCCACCGGCAAAAAAAGAGAACAGACATCTGCTACAATAATAAACAATCAACATCTTCTAGTCAATTAGTTAAAAATGTGACGGATAGCAAAAAATTACACAAATTAGGTTTTGAATTTCTTTCTCACATTATTTTCTGGCTAATAAATCATAAATTTGTTGTATTTACATTCCATACATTCCACTTTGGCGGAAGATGATTGTCAGATAATCAAAAGGGAAATTTTCAAATTATATGACACACATTCGATGGAAAAGTATCCACAAATTGATCATTGGACCACAATGTTATTGGAAAATGAGAGCAAGACATATGGAAAAGTTTTAAGTAACTTAACTGGATTCTCCAGTATAGAAGCTACTCATAATGTCACGTTTATTGTGAAAACTGGTGAGATGCGAAGGAATTTTAAGCTACACAAAGTGTAATTAAATGTGTGTGCAATGAAGAATAAAAAAATACACTAACCAAGATGTTCCAATCCACTAGTTTTATAGACTCATCGTCCATTTTTTCCCTCTCTATCTTCTCTGCTCCACTCGCATTTTATTTATTAACTTCACTGCACGGAATTTTATATGATTTATTGCAGAGATTAGAAGTCAATTGAGATAAATTTCAATTTGTATATAGGGTTCAAAAGATGGTGTGGAAAAATGATGAAATTACGCGGGAAAAGAGATAGAAAAGGCTCTTTGGCGCGGATTATAGTGAGAGAGTTGGATGATCACACAAGAAAGGCGAGCTTCTAAAATGAGTAAAATGTTACTTTCCGGTGGTATCTCTCTCTCTTCTTTTACTACTGTAACACATATATAAGAGGCACAGCAATTAGACAATTAGTTTCTATTAAATTGCCTCCGTTCTCTCTCTCTCTATCTTAATGCATATTTTGTAAAAGATGATGAGAATTGACGATGCCAAGAGACTTGGCACACAATTTGTCTGCTGCAACAATTAGTGATGGATAGAAAAGGGAGAAAAGAAGGAGAATACAGAACACACATTTCCTGGTAGCTACTGTACTTTCCACCACAAATTGCGCCAAGAAGTGAACGCAAGAGGAAGAGTAGATCTCAATTGATTAATGTATTGAGACAATCGAAGGAAAATTCCAACAGGTATTCTCTTCTCTCAACTTGTTGACCAAAGAAGCACGCTTGGAAAACTTCTACATGCATTCATTCATACTTCACTTTATCAATTAATACACCACACACCAGCCCATCTTTCACGCATTAGAACCTGTGTGCTTGTGCGGTTATTAGTTAGCTCTATATTAATTTCCTATGAAAGCCACCAAGCATTAAAATAGCACACGCAGTTCATGTGAAAGAGATATTGAGCGGCTGCATCCAAAGTTATGGAAACAACTTTAACCCTTCAGCGGTGTCGTTACCCAGTTTTTTGTTAGCAAATTGAGTTTCTTCAAAGAAAGCTGTCACAAGACGACGTCGTGTTTGCGTGACTTTAGTGTCAAATAGTGTTGAAAAGATAAGAAAGAAGACCTAATCATGTAGTGAAGGATTAATTTCTTCATACTTCCATAACTTTCGACACAGTCTCTCTATCCATCGTGGCAAGCTAGTCATGAGTGTGTAAAATTTTGTGCTGTTATATTCTTGGGCACGGGCAAGAGGCAGTTAAATCATGCACTGATTCGAGAAAACATCCACCGTGCACCGCAGATGGAAATCTCCTCTCTTGCTGAATGGCAAATGTGGGAAGATTGGAAGGTATATTCCTTCATGATTTACTGCCCAACAAAATTATTTTTACCTTTTGTCCCGTTAATGTGCTCCACACCATTTTCCATCATTTTGCTGCTACCGCCACCGTTGACACTGTGTCCATTTATCTTGGGCGATGGAGTGCCTGCAGAGTGTCCATTCGCATGCCCATTGATACCCTTATCCACAGTGTCGCCGATTGGGATGTTGCTCTTCATTCTATTCTTCAGAGGTGTCTGAATGCGATCGGGTTCACCGAAGAGGCGATTGTGAGAGTTCACGACTGCACGTGGCCGTTCGCCTATTGAGCCGCCAGGTGGAAAAAGAAAGGAAAAATTGTTAGAAAATCTCCTTGTAACTTACAACAGTGCGTCAGAAAATATATTCTTCCTTGTTTCATAACACTGACTGTACATCACATGCATTATTACTCTGTGTACATTAGGAGTTGAGAAAAATCAAAAACATGATTACACACAAAATTTAGGTAACTTTTCAAATTGTACAATGTTTTCTTTCCTTTCATAAGGGTTCTAAAGACAGTGAGGTAATATTTGAGGCATTATTAGCAGCGATCTCTAAACACTTCCGACACTTATCGCTTCCAGCGACGCTTTGATTGTATTCTTGATCAGTCAAGCTCAAATTTAACCTTCTCAAAATTTAAAGTGTGCCAGCATTTTTGGCATCAAACTGTACAATGTACAATGTGCTAAAGAATGTTACTGAACACTTCCGTCGTTTCAAAATTCACTTCCTCTCCACCTGTCCAGATGTCAAAAGTCAAAAATTGGCCTCAAAATTATGTATTTACCAAATGAAAATTCACTAAACTTTAGAACCCTTTCATGCAATTTTGGGATGCAATGCGAGTTAGAAACAGTCCATCGAAAATCCATCAGATTATATTTTATGCTAGAATAATGAATAGCACTGAACTGGATTAAGAAATGTTGTACTGGGAAGCAAGAGAGGCAATAGGTGAATCGATAGTCGTCTTATTAGCAATTCAAGATCAACGATTGATGATCACACATAATATCTCAATAAAGTTGATGGTAAGATGAGAAGAATTTCTACAACAGGCACGATTTGAATACCATGAGCAACGAGAAAGAGAGATAAATAGAAAGATGGGAGATTCCTCAATTGTATATGATTGTCTATATGGCTTATTTGCAAAGTTAAAATGCGAAAATTCATGAATGAAGTGAACAGAGTCTATGCGAAAGAAGGGAATTAATGAATGAATTCAATGAATAAGCATTGAAAGTACAAGTTGAAGAATATGATGCCACTTTACAGCTGAGCAAGAGTGAGACAATTTATAAATAAATCATGGGAATTTATTAGATGATATTGCAATAGAATTATCACAAATCGCGTTACTCATTAATTAAGATACAGAAGAATACAGGAGATAATGATTTTCTAAAGTTCAGATAGACTCTAATAATAAATAGCAATATCAATGAACTTTCTATGGGCTATTATGATTATTATTTTATGATTATTATTGTTGTGAGTTTTTCACAATGATTAAAAGAAATTAGCACCCAAGTTATTGTCTACACAGGGACACAAATTGCTAATGCAGACCAACTAATGGGGTAATTGTTAGAAAGTCAAATGCGTTAAATTGTTAATCAACAGACAAACAACAACATGTAATGCAGAGTTTTTCTTTCCTCTGTCTCAAATAATGCAAATACGATGTTATATACCAAGAAAAAAGTATCTATAGATTCCTTGTTGAACTGCAAAAATACAGAGAGAAAGAGAAAAACCAGATGATTAAACACTTTCCACACCATCATCAAAAACGGGAAGGGGCAGAGCAAAGAGGGCGGATAAGCCGGCATATCTGAGAAGACGCGGGGAGATTTAATCGGGACAACTGCATATCTCGCACCCGCTTTGGACTAACAAGTGGATGGGAATTACCATTCTTGGAGACGGAAGAGCCTGTTTCGCCAAAGATATTCGATGCCATGCGATTTTTGACGGTCCTTGGTGTCTCCATGGATGATTCTCCGCCAAAAATGTCACTCGTTCCGCCACCCGGTGGCTTCAGAACCCTAAAAAGAGTGCAAGAAAACAGACAATTATTACTTCACAATGCCAATTTCAATCATGACACGTGCTTGCGATTGTAGTGATACTAAAAGTTACCAAAAATAGCAACTAAAATATTTGCTGACCTACATTTAATCCTATACTCTTCGCTCTCTTTTCAGCCCTCGTCTGTCGAAAAAGCATTTTTATTATCAGATCATTTCTTTTGATTCATTCGACATTGTGGCAGAGAAAACGGTTAAATAGCGTGATTCCTCCCACAAATTGTCGCACAAAACTGTCGAACTATTCTTTGCTATAGGTACACAATTTCATGTAGAATATGGAAAGAAATTTCTCCTCTTAACCTTCTGCTATTTACTATTCTAATAAATAAATATATATATATATGAATACGAAAAGTTTTTAAGGGAAAAACAGTCTTATGTTACTTTCCCAGGAGAAAACGCGATGTTCTCATTTTCACGGAGACATTTGATTTAAGCAGAGCACCACGTCATCCATAGAAAACATTTCAGAGATAACACAAGTCATGCTTTTGTCAAATCTCATCACGATAATCCGCCTTTGATTGCCTCGCGTGGTAAAAGCATTTCGTTGTGAACTAATAAATTCACATTTCTCCGCTATGCATTTTTTTTTAAACCGAACATCTTCATTTAATGCTTATCTGAATATTTCCACAGTGAAATTTAAACAATTAATAATCTCTCTGAGATAAATTTTAAATTAGGCAAATAAGCTTCCACCGCGTGAGGTCCGCCTCCTTCTCATGCTAATCGTGGGAAATATCGCATTGGTAGTCTCAATACAAATAGCATAAAATGTAAATACTCCCCATGTTTGAGCTCTCGCCCTTTCCCACCAATTTTCCATGTGAGCTCACAACATACAGTGCAAAATTTTCCACGAGACCCATATTAAATGCTCAGATATGAAATATTGTAGCATGGTGCACAATTTATTACAGATTACTATCGATTAAGCTTTCAGGTTTTTCGGTTAGAGACGAATATCAACCATTAAAACTTGTAACCATCGCGTATGCCTTCTTAATACGTCTCCTCTTCTACACAACCATTAAAGCCACACACGAATGGCTCTGCCAATGACAAAAGTTTGCCCTTTTTCTCACCATTGTAGAGCCTCAAGATTTGAGGGCAAAAGCAGGCAACATAGTGTCTTAATTCTCTTTTTTTCCTTAAATTCGTGCCAAACTTTCAGTGTGACTTCAACCAAAAATCCATGCATAGCACGTCACGAAAGGAAATTTTTCTGAAAACTTCCTCAAACACGATTCAAAGTTACTCACGAGGAAGAAAAAGGCCATCCAAATTGGCCATTTTGCTAGCTGTGGATGCATTAGTGAAGAAAGTTTATCAAGATTTTTCATTTCTTGCCATCTAATGTGGAAAGTCAAGTGAAATTTCCCCCAAAAAAGACTCACAATCTATACATATCTATGAGAAACTTTAGGCATATAGTGCTTCATCATAAAAGCAATGAATTGTAAATTACAGGCCATCTCCTATCGAATTAAACATCTATTGAAGTGAGATATAGAGGGAGAATGAAGAAATTGGCACTTGAGCGTAATTATATTTTTAAATGATGGTTATTTTATGGTGTGTCCATTGCTTGAAGATTCGACGAAACTTTAATTGGAAATATTAACTGTACACCGTGTTCCATTGATTACCAATTGTAGTTTGAGAGTATAGCCAGGGAGAAAGAGACTTTGTCTGGCCACCGCTTTCCGTTAATTCCTTCATCAGAACACTTCATGTGTAATTCATTAGCCGATCACATAATACATAATACGTCATGTTGTGTCCCAATCACTTCTTCGTAGCAAGAAATTTATCAGTCATCACGGCAAGTGCTGAAGATCTGTTAGAAATCACAGCCAATCAGTCCCGCAGAATGATAAATCTCTTTTATAGGTCGGGACATAAAAATGTCCTTAGATGAATTTCGTAATTAAAAAGACCGTCTGTAATCTTCTATTGCAATATGCATGCAAGTACAGAATGAAAACAATTGACTGTCCAGAGATTGCATGAGATTTCCATCAATTTCCACCGCAACTACTAATTTCAAACAATCTATGAATATGAGGTAATAATATTGCGTTATTGTCACCTCATTTTCCTCACTTGACTCATCAAAAAACATCTTGTCACAGTAAAAATCGCTCAAGCGCATCAATTATATACGTGGTGGAAATTGTCTCTTATAAAATTACAGGGCAGAGAGAGAGAGCATAAAATAGATGTACTCGAGGATGAAACACTTGTGGCAAACAAGTACAAGTACCTCTAAACTAATTAGTCACATGGCTTTCGTAATCCCACAGCTGACTTTTTTTTCTTCCCTCCGGATCTTTTTCTGTCTTCATCTTTCTCTCTTCTGCGCACTTCTAAATTGAGCAGAGAGATTGATGAACACGCGCCACAACAGAAAGATATGACAATCTACCATCTTCATCCATATAACAACGTTCTCATTTGAGCTTATACTTATTTCACTGGGAATTTATTCCACCGTGAAAGAAATTTGCGTGTTCCACAGTGAAGTTTCATAAATTGTCTCTTTTATCACAAGAGAGCATTTTTTGTCTAACTTTTTCCGGTGTCATTTTCTGCGAATTTCTACTTTTTTGATTATCTTCTGTGGAGAAGGAGAACATGAATTGAAATTGTCCTTCCACATATATAGACAATCTCAATCGTATCACGCATTCTTCGTCATCTCATATAATTACAGTCACTCAGTCAAATTGTTCTCAATAGCAGTCATCATCATCTTCAACATCGTGTCAATGGAAATATAATGGCATGTTCTTTGGGAAGAAACACGAGCCCTCGATCTTCTTATGCCCATGTGACATACTCTGTGCACTGCGCTGTGACGACGGAAATCACGGCCTAGTGAATATTTAATTTCATACGTGCTTCAAAATGATCTTTTCCACCTCTTACGTATTCATTAGCTGGCGAGTCGGAGGCAAAAAAAGTGTCACTGCACAAGTGTACGCCACAGACAATTAAATAAAATACCCAAGTGGACATTTTGCGATACTCACAAGTGATAAGAGACGAGAAATTGTGAATTTTAATGCCGGGGAGATCCTCAATTATGTTTGAGATCAACGGCTACAGCAACTGTGCCGAGATTCTATGATTATATTACCAACAAAAAGTATACACAAACGGTAATTACTTCCGAGAAATTTTATACATTTATATACATATATGTGCCACACAAGTGGCCTTATATTCAAAGGCCCCACCATAGTGCACTTCCAGCGTGAGAGAGGAAAATAATTTTCTGATTAAATAATTTCTACTAATATACATTAAAATTTTATCAAAGAGTTTCGGGTGAAAGCGCGCGCACACACTTTTTCCCCGGCTCTATTGCATTCCACCTCAAATGAGAAACATTAAATGTTCAGCTATTCTACAAAATACATATATGATACTTCGTGAAGTGCAAAAAGTATGGCTCCACATGTAAAAAGGTATAAAATTACCCATCAAATGATTAGTATCAAGGAAATTTCTGCACCATTCCAATATAAAACATATTATTGCTTCTTTGCTCCGCTTTATCGTAAAATACCTTCAACATTCAGCATTTTTATACTTTATTTACTATTGTAGCCAATGTTGCTAAATCGATCAAACTATAGTTTTACAGTAAATATTTGTGGGCAGAGATTTGAATTCTTCCACAACCACATTGCCAAGGTGAATGCACGATAGACATGCCAATGTTTTTATTCCTTGTTGATTGCTTTGGAAAGTGGCATAAATCACATCCCAAAATGAAACCCGATGAAAAAGTTGACAGAGACAGTATCTAACTATAATATAGAGTAGATTATTTTCTATTATCATACTTATTTGAATTTCAGTCCATTATTATAGCAACAGGGACATTTTTACACAACTGTCAAGATCATAACCACAAAATTATTTTAGAATGCATAAATAGATTGACAATAACAGTTTGTAGGCCAATTTCTGGCTCATGATAATTATTCTCTAGATGTGTATCAAAAATCAATGTCCTCTTTTCAATATCAAAAAAAAATCAAAACATATATAGAAAGGCGTATCATCCAAATACCTTGACATAAACACCTATCCACTTTACGTGTTTATATGCACAGTGATATGCTTTTAATAGATCTTTCATATTACTATTGAATATATTTTTAATTTCAGCATTTGAATCTTTCTCTCTCCCTATTTATTTTTCACCACTTATCGATCGTTATGCCCAATGAACATTTATCTCTCTCTTCTTGTGTTTTTCATTTCTTCACCATCTTTTAAATCCACATTCGGGCATTTTTCCTCATCTCTGCATGGTGCAATTACTAGGAAGACTCTCTTTTCATCACATATTGTTTTGGCACAAAAATATCCCCTCCTCGCGAGACCCGTTATACATTTGTGAGCATTATACAATTGCTATTTAACTATAAAAACCAACATCTTGATATTTCTCTGTACCCAAAGAAAAATTATTCTTTCATCTCTCATCCATCTTCGGGCCGTTTCTTATAGCAACTCCACCTAAAGCCATCCTCCTGGGTAAATAATTAGAAAATAACTTTTATTTGACATGAGTTTCAGCAATTACTCTTGCGCTCTTGATGGTTAAAAAAAATCACTAAACAATAAAACTTTTTTCTCTATTCGATTTTGTGGCTCTTTTCCACCTCACATGGAGTTCCTGCGGAAAAAAGGTGGACACTTTGTATTTCGGAAGGGTCATTGCCACGCAGCGAAGAACTCACATGGAATGACTGGTGAGGCCACTCAATGCTACACTTCCTGGGTGACACCCGAGGCCTGAGTGTTGGGCCGAAATACAGAAAAGGATAAATATTTCTGGGAGCCCCTCTCAGTCAGTGTTACATTACACGGGAAATTTTCCTCACTGTGAAAATTTCTATGTTACATAAACAAAATATTCATGGGGCAAAGACCTTGCTTCCTTCTCGTCTACTTCTCACTACACAAGCGCATAAAAAGCCACTTCTTCAAACACGTGGTACCTTCGTACGTACAGTGCGACCATTAATAGATTGCAAAGGGAATTTCAATTGCGACAGAGTCGAGAGAGTAGAACCACATGCAAAACATTCACTTCTTTTTCCTCCTATTAGGCACGTATTTATTCACAAGAATTTGCCATGTTCTTCCTGATAAAATTCCACCATTTCGTGTGACTGTTTTTCACCCCCAAACAAATTGACGAAGATCGATGGAATTTCTATAGATGGGACGCTCGCAATCAATATCGTTCTCCCTTGTCACCATAGAAGATGGAATAAATGGAAAAAATATGTATAAACACTTTAGTGAGACAGTCGATGCGATTTGCTTAAATTTCCAGCAACATTTTACAACATAGTCAAATATTGACCTAAAACACGCAAATTTTATTCCATCGAACTCGTGATTTTGAAGAAGATTTGATAAAATATATGCTCACGTAGCAGAGCATAGGATTATAAATAGAAATTTTTATCGTGTCTATTGATTCCTCGCAGAAGACATTTGAGATAATTGCTTTTGTATATAAATCCGAATTGCGCTTTTTTTCTGCCAAAGTTGCCCCTTCATCAACATTCGCTATCAGAAATGAATTCAGAATACCACCACAAAGTAATACATCTCCACTTTCATAAGATTTACTGCCCATCCATAAAAGTCAATTTTACTGGTGTGAATTTTTCACCTGTCTCGAGGAAATTCTTTCACTCTACGAAATTCCCCGACAGACATTCGCAAATTTACATCCGAAAATGAAAACGGAAAAGAAACAGAAAACTTTATCTAAACGATTCATAAATACTTTATGAGTCCATCATGATAGACGTGAGAAACGTGTGGGAAAGAGTTTTGTTGAAATTCCATAGAAAATCATTTTAAATCAATCAATCAACCTTACACTGCCCCAGACAGATAACACAATCGAATTCTTCACTGAAAGTCACACTTTTCTTTTGCCAAAGCACACAAAGACAATAAACTCATGGAGGCCAAAATGTGCAGAAATCGGTCAAGAAATGAAAGAAATAAAATCAATCTCATTAAATCACTCGCGGGAAGAAAAAAACTTTAATAGAGAAGAAAGGGAAGTGGATTTACAAAATAACCCCCTCATTTTCAGTCGCACCTCAAAATTGCAATTAATGGCGTCAAAAGAGAGTCCGGGAATCATTTCACCATTTTAAAATGACTTTCTTTTGTGTGTCTCTCCCATGAAAATTTCCCTCTCAAACCCAATCAACACACAATGACCCGCCACAAGAGTCAATTGACTAAATTGCAACACTTTTTGCCTCCTTTTCCTCTTGTGATCAATTTACCTCTTTGTATACTCTTTTACCCTTTTATGTATTGCATCGTATCCCAGAAAAAGTGTGTAAAATTTGATTGAATAACACTATATGGAAAACAATCCCACACAATCTGCATTTTTCAACAATTCACCGTGTGTGGAATTTTTCAATTGGGAACAATTTAGTGAAAATGTATTGATCCGTTGAAAATCTATTGATAGTGCATTCTCATCCGAAACCTCCAACACAACACACATCACTGCATTCTCTGATGAATGAGACGCGGAGTCAGTAAGTGAAAACATTTGGTGAAAATACTTTCGATTTCTAGTTCAACACAACACGGAAAAAGTGGGAAACCCCCCTAAATATTCTGGCATCAACTTCGACATTTCTTTTTATACACTCCCTAACCAAAGGAAAAACTTCACAATTTTTTATTCTCTCTTCTCTTCGCTTCAATGGAAAACCACACATATAGGAAAGAGAGTGAATAAACCTGATTATGGTTCTAATTATTGCCACCGAAACACGCGTAGAAGGAAAATTCGGTTTTTTGGGCAAGAACGTTTATACGGCCCTTTTCCTGGAACAGGAAATCTTTCACCATACAGAAACCTCACCTTAAAAATTCAGACACGCGTTATATCTTATGCCCTCATCCCGAAACAATGCCTCAAATTACAGAAAACGTGTTCACAAATAACCATGAAAGGTGGTGACGTGCATTTTCCCCTAATTAATGAAAATACAAGGGATACAAAGATATATTTATAAGGCAGAAAAAATGCATGAAAATATAGAGGAGTGTTCGGCATTTTATAGACGACATAAATAGTTTTGAAACAAAAAACGCACACAAATATATTTTAAAACTAAATACAACGTTTATAAGATTGATATCTTGTGTCTACTAAATGAAATCCTTTCAAAGACGAGACGAGTTGGTTTTCTTAAACATTTTCGACAATCATCCATTAAATAGTTACTCACGAAAATCATATTAACCAAGTGAAAAACATGATTTTTCACCAAAATTTTTCGAGTGAAACTTTCTTTTATTATAATATGGAATTGGGGTGTCCCACATTTTTGTTCTAACCAGACTTTTCGTCAAAATCGCACGCAATGTTATTTATTAGTTAAGTAAAACAGTTGACGCTAATCGACCCTGATTTTCCTCCTATTCCACCTCACAGTCAATCTTTTCATTTCGTGGTGGAATGGAGAAAAGAAAAAAAGGATTTCACATGTGTTACTTTTAGAGGTCAATCTCTCATTACAGTGTCGAGACGGCAAAAATTCCCTCTCATTGTATTAAGACAGGGGAATATGAGTAATTATTAATTCTCTACACATTGGCTTTTCCTTCACCAGAACACTCCCTTCTGCATTGTTTTATTCTCTGCAATTGTACTATTCTCGCGTTTGGTTTTTCTTATAATGCACAATATTAGATGGTCATCAATCTTAAAACATTAATTTAGATGTACGCCAACAACAAGCCATTTTGTCTCCACATTCATTTTTCATACATTTTCCCATCAATAGACGGTATTATGTGATCTCATTGCCAGAGATTGATCTGCAAATTGCCACATCGCAGAATCTAATATCAGAATAATCGTGAAATATTAATCAGAACGTGTTTGAGTACCGCACACGCCATCACAAATTAACTATTAAATATTTTTGAGATGGATGGCAAATGGAATTAGGTTAATTTCCTCACTAGGCTAAGCACAAAAGAAGGCACATAGAATTTCAGATAATCTCGAATTCTTCTCTCAACCACATCGAATAAATCCATTTTTATATGATTTTCAAACATTCTCACCTCTTTTTTGTGTTTCCAACATTATACAATTCAACATGTTTAAATGTTGCGTATGTTGCCATTTTTACTGATGATTTTCAAGGACCACAGGATATTTTTACACGATAATTTCCTTCAATTCAATTGTGATTCACGAATTTTACAAGACCTGCATGCGAAAGAGACCTTTGTTAAATCGTCGAGAGATTTTTCTCTGTGCAGGAAAATGGCACACATCAGAAAATCCCAGTGGACAACTAAATATATTCCTCGCACCACTGTTAACACAATTTGGCAAAAGACACACAAAACCGAGGGGATTCACTGCTGAGAATAACAAATTTGTATGTAGTGCAGGTCCAGAAGAATCTCTGCAGCATCATACTGTTTTCCCTTGAACTCAGTGAGGGCTGTTTAAATGGAGGGCCAAATGCGGTGGCACTTGTATTGCGCGTTCCATCCTTGGAGCATCGCAACCGGCAAACCCGAAAGCTCCCGCCGAGAAAGATTGCTTTAGCACGGGAAGAATCGGGAGTACATCGAGTGAGACGAACGAGAAGTAATCAATAGCCACGAAATGCACCATTGTTCCGGCAAGGACTCCAGTGCGTCACTCGGAAAGCCATTGAGGATTGTCACTTTTCACCCAAATCATCCTTCTCGTGCCACAAATATCAAGTGACACTCTCAATAGAGATGCTTCAAGTGCTAAAAACACCCATTGAGACACTTTAAATTGTCCAAGAATCAGCTGCTTTCTCAACATTCAGTAAATGCCTGGATATATATTTAGTCATCCACTGGTTTTAATTGCATGGCCAGATATATATTTGAATATTTCCACGAACCGGATAAGAATCTCCGCAATTTACTTAAAAATTTCTCTCCTTCGAGCACTGTATGAAACGAACAATAGAACGAAAAAACGAAAAATATTCCTTGACTTGCTTCAATCAACTCAAATCTCTCGCCGCCAAACTTTTCAATTTACTAAGTCAGGAAATTGAGTGACTTCTCAATGCTTTTATCTGAGGGATTACTGTTAAAAACAACAAAAAACCAAAAGTGTGCAACAATAGTTGATACCACAACGGAGCCGTGAGCTTGACTGGAGTCATTCCAATGGCCGCAGGCATATTTATACCGCGCATACTTCCATCATCAAAAAGTCCAATGGAAATGGTGTAGTGAGAGAAAGAAGAGAGAACGGTGCTTCTCTCCATCGGTTTCTTTTTCCCCCACATCAACAAAACACAAATGTATGTACACTTGTTGTGGCGAAAGAGCTCTCATTTCTCTCAACTTCCTCGCACTCTCACTGGAGCTGCACTTCCCCAAGAGCAGTGGCGTAGTGTGTTTAACATCCAAGTGTAATATTGAATTTTTCTCGTAAAAGTTTATTACAAATCCCTTTATCATTTGCATGTCTTAAAACCGGGCAGAATTTGATTTAAATAGATTCATGTCTACGAATGGGGATAATGATAGTCCACGCCACTGCTCAAGAGAGGCCTCAAATGCGACGAATCAGCAAAGAAGTGAATCCAAGAGAAGGGGGAACCGAGAGAGAGTTGGAGCTGAGAGAGGAAGAGAGAGAGAGAAAGAGAGAGCGACGCCGTGTTGATGCTTCTGATGCGCAACCAACAACTTTGCGCGAGTCATTATCATAAAAGTCCCGGTTCAACTGAGGCATTTTCCCGCAGTGGTACAGACGGAAATTGCTAGACAAAAACATTTCCACTGACCAGAAGACAGCAGACTGACCCTGAGGACAGACAAGACTCTCATATTGCGAGATCCCTGATGGAAAGTGGGAAGGGCGCAAACATGGGAACATGCATCAAACATCAGAGAACATAAATTGCATCCATTTCAGCAATAAATTGTACGTACATTAAGCAACGAGATTCATGCTGATTCTGGGGCCCTCTCGTACATGCTTTCGAGGACAATGAGATATTCTTTTACACTGTTTAATTTAAACAACAAAAATCCACTCGTATAGACATTAAACACACTTGAGTGTTTGCTCGAATTGCTCATCCAGGAAAAACAGCCACCTCACAGAGCCAATTTGAGTGTCTGAAGCCGCGAAAAATGCGACCACTTAGCAATTTTTCTTGCTATACCGTTTAATATTTAATACAGACACCTAGCAAACCATGAATAATGGCATGTGAGGAGAAGAGTTTACACTAAAAAATTGTTCTATTCTTAGCTTCCTTATTGTATCTCTTGACCAGATCAACGTCAGTGACAATGAGACATCTCAGAAATATATTTCTCATATATGGATAGGATTTCTCAGAAGATGCAGAAAGCGCAACGTCATAGAAGTTGCAAGAATATTAGTGTAAGTGCAGTTGCACATCTTTTTATGTCAATGTCACAAAGCTGCAACATCGAAAATTTACCCAAGAAGTCATGATTATCGTGGACATAGAATAGAATATTGAAATAGATCCAAACTAAAATAGCTGAACTTTGGAAATGCAACACGGAAAGGATTAAGGAATCTTGGCAGCAACTCCTAGCCCAAATAGAACTTCTGAATTTGACCTAAACGATTATTTCCTGTGTATTATTCTCAGACTGAAAGTGTGATTCATGAGCACACAAGATATTCAATCGTGAAATCGAAATTGACTCAAATGCCATAAATATCATTTATATATCATACAAAGTAAGTTTCAAATACCAAACAAAGAATTAATAAATAAATTTTGGTAATACGTAATTATCTACGCAAACATCAACTGCGAAATTTCCGACGAAAGTCTCTCACACAAAATTTAAGATGCGACATACTTTTATGGAGGCGTCTGGTACTTGCACTTTTTCCCACACATCAATTGGCAAAATATTTTCTACTGGGCTTTTACCGCCACTCGTAGACATTCAACTCTTGTCTCACTTGTCAAAGAGTGCAGATGTAAAACACAAATTCTTCAAATACATAAGCAGCTATTTTTTTTTCATTCCAATGGCAGTGAGAAAAAATAACGATGGAAAATTCACAATTCGAGGAGAAAATTATGAACAAATTTGCAAAATAGTCGAAGAAATTGTGAAAGAAAAAAATGGTGAGATGAATGGAACAATGGAGATAAGCACGAGCCATCGAGAGTGCATTTGGTTTAGAGGAGCCCTTCACTTCTTTATATTTAGTAGAGAGTGCAATTCAACATTTCGTAGCATGTGTCTTTTGGGCTTCTTCTTCTAATGGAACAACACAAAAGTACAGAAAGTTAATCTGGACAGTGCATCTCCTCCGCAGAGACGCTTTTTTTTCATCGTCACAAGATCTAAAATAGTAAAATAAGAAAGGAGAGTGTTGCAAGTTTATTGGCCGGATGAGGAGAGAGACAATATTTTCCTCTTGGACTTCATCATATCTCAATGGTGTCTTTTTTGTCATGCCCGATGCGATTAAATTTTCTCGTTTATTGGCACCACGATAAAAAATTACTTAAGCATTCTTAATACACACCTCTAAAGACGAAGACTTTCGTCTTCGCCTATACATATGTCTTTTCTTTCGCCTCATCCAACACTTCGATCAAGCATCTTTTTCGAGCCCTTTCCCAACCGCATTCGCTCTCCAAAGGTGTCGATAATATCTCTCACACTCCCCAAGCCCGACTTTATTCACTGCGCGGCCAACAACATCACTTACAATGAGGTTGCACCTCAGAGCAGCACCTTCACACCTGATCACGATGATCCACAATCATCGTGTCTCTCCCTGCGGAACTTTCTAATGCAATTAAACGGCACATGTATCCCAGGTCAGAAAAAGAATCACCGCAAGATGCTCACATTTCTCATACACATGCTACATATGAGCCATCTTATTTATTGAGAACACGTGACAGACTAATTTAAATATCTCAATTTGCGTGCACAAGTGATCCTGAACCAGTGAAAATGATAATCTCCCAGTTTGAAGTCGTCACCTTTCTTTCACTTCTCACACAACTTGTGTTTGTGCTGTGAAATTGAAATTCATGCTAAAAATGAAGAAAATCTTTCTCGAGCAACACAATTTTTTTTGTCATACCTTTTCCTAACTCGTGTGTATTGCATGTTGTTACGTTCTCTCCAGCACAAATGCTTTCTTTCATTTTCAGCGCACACATAAGCTCTGAAAAGTGCGCGGCAGTGGTCAAGGAAAGGGTCACCCAGAAGTGAATGAGAGGGCAAATGGAATTATACTTTGCTCTTGTTTTGCACCTTCTCTGCCGGATTTCAATCTGAGAGACACATCAACCTAAATCACCGTGCCTGAGCAAGTGGAATATCATATGCTTAGAAATTGACGAAAAAGCCATACACTCTTGTCGGAGATCAACTCCAGATGGACAGTGAACAATTGAGAGAAGCAGAATCGTGATTTTCCTCTTAATGTTTTTTTCCATCCCACTATTATAACTCTCTTGTTTGATACAATATTTTCTCTTTTCACCATTAAAGTGCCCCCATAAGCTTTTCATCTCCTTGAAATCTCGCACAAAGTTGCAAAATTTAATTTAATTTCCTCTCCCAATCATACACCCATAGTAATAACATATGTGAGGAGATATATTGTAATTAAAATTAAAAGCTATAAATATGCTATTTCTCTCAGCTGGAAAATGTTAGCTCTCTCGCCTTCCGCTCATACTTCATGTGGCCAGGCAAATAAGTGATAGCTAATATTCTTACAGGTATGGATAACAAAACCAATTGGCAAATAGAAAGGAGATCGTGAGCATTTGAGATGGGCACACAATAACCATCCGTCAGAATAATTTGCACTCAATTCCATTAAATGCAGAATATCTTGGACTTGAGAGCCACAGTCTTATGAGCTATTTCGTTGGTGAATTAGCAGAAAAAGTGCCACACACACACATTCTGTGAAGAAATAATATGAACAAAAGTCATTAGTCCTGCTATATATTGTTACTCTCATATAATATCTACATAAATCACTTCTTTTCTACTCATTCTCAGCTCGCTTCCTATGTATTTTGTTTTGCACACAAATTTGCTCTTATATCCATCTTCTTTGGAGGAAACTCAAATGAATCCTCGTTATCACTTTTATAGCTAATTCTCCCCAGCATCCATTACTAACGATCTTCATACATACATAATTGCAATCTACCTTATGTCTGGCTCATATGCAGTTTAACTTTATACCCGTGTCATCTCTCAGTTCCTTCACCAACATGTTTTATATTCAATTGTAAAACGTCCACTGACAACTTGAGCATAGCAAATGAGCTTTCTTCTATATTTTTAATGTGATTCATGGCATATGCAGTGTGAAAATCTTTGAATTATGATCACATAAGTTGGCAAAAATTCCAGATAGCAACATTTAAATACCAGGTGAATTTGTGAACGTCTCGTGTACGCGAAAGATGTTTTAATTGCTCATTTATCTTGCATAAAAACAGAGGTGCAGCATAAGTTTTCTATACACCACATTTATATGCTGGTTTGGGATTGATAAAATGAAAAGAATTAGAGGTCAAAATACTCCAAAATGTTATGCTTTGATCAGAGAAGTTATAATCAAATGGAAGACATTGATAGTCACAATTTTCATAATAATACATAAAGATGAAAGGATTCCTGAAACTCTTGACCCCTTTGCATTCCACCTTCTGACACAGTGAGTGAAGAAAGGCTCGAATATGAGATACGGTGAGAGCCTAAGCGACGATGTGATTAAAGTTTTCCCATCTTCAAGAGGCTCATCTTGAGCCCAAGTGAGGTGAATAAAATTCATATATGAAAAGTTCAAGATGTTAAAGACGCCCGAGAGAGTCGTACCTTCCCCCAATTGCCATCATCATTGCATTAAAATGTGAAATGACGTGTTGGTTGAAATTAATAACAATGTATACACATGTGACGGCGTAACCATTATGAATTGCCAAAAAATTAATTGTAAAATCTGTCTGACCTTAATTGCTAAACACTTCAATACTTCCCAGATTGTATGTGTTATGGAAAAAAAATTCATCGGTTATTTTTCATCCAACGTGAGAATATAATAAAATGAAGCTGTCAACATTTATTACACCATTGCAGCAAATTGTACTACACAGCAAC